CGCCGCCCTCCGCGGCGTGTCAGCGGGTCGCTGGTGGGGTGCTTCTCTCCTCCTTGATCTTAGCAACACTCTGGGTAGTTTGGCCTTCTTGTATCTCATGTAAAGACGCGGTTGCAAGAAGGCTACCGTGTAAAAACCGGTCGCGCTTATGTGCAAACTTACTTCACTTTCGGCTTGCTAGCTCAGGAATAAACAAAACGTGGGTTTAGCGCAAGCTGGTCTGCTTCAGAGAAGCCGAAGTGCTCTCTGTGCTGCAGTTGGATTAAGAGGTGTGGCAGCATGTTGTGAAGAGTGTCTCAGTCCTAGTCATCTTCTGTTAGGTGCCTCTGAACTGAGCAGGCAGGCGGTCAAGATGCAGCCAGAAGCAGATCAGCACCATGTGTTCAGTTTATGCAGCATCTTTTCCAATGCAGCATTTAAATGCATCGTAACCTGTACATTCACGTTCATATGATACTGTAGGTGCAGACATTTATGTGCCCCTTGATGGAGTGCATACAAACGGATCTTTAGTCTGAGTGTCTAGCTGCTTCGTAGTCATAGACTTGATTTTTCCCATTTGTTCTCAGTTGCACAGGTGTAATTGGACTTTATCATACTGCTGTATTTCTCACCCTTCCCCCCCTTATTGCAATTCTGGCAAAAACAAGGTGGGAGAAAGAAGAATGCAGCGTGGACAGAAAGAAGAAACTCACAAAGGGTTAAGCGTGTTTCAGAAACTTCCCGTCTCTCAAAAAGTCCTGCACATGCATATTAACCATAGTGATTTGTCAAAGAAACTGTTCAGAATGAAAATGAATGTCATCCTCTATTAGTGGATGTTCGCTGTTGTGTTGCAGGAAGGTTGTTCTAGGTGATACTTATTCTTTCCAGGCAACATTTGTTCTATTCCTAGAAACTCCAAGAACCAGTAATAGTGAATAAGAAGATGTAATTGACTTTTTTTTACCAACTCCTTAAATTGTTTTATTAAATAACCTAAAACATTTCTTCATTGTGACTAAGTCTAGAATACAGACTCTGAACATGCTTACCTAGTTAACCAGACATTGCTTCATCTGATCTTAAAAGCAGAAATTGGAAATACTCATAGTTCAGGCCAGATTTAAAATCATCATATGCATCTGACTTGATAATTTAATCATCTTTATGTTGACAGTGTAACAAATAAGTAAAATAATATTAGAAAATTGAAGTAATTTTTTATAACATTGAGGAGACATTCTGTGCAGGAAATAATTATGTAGCAAATATGTGGGACTTTGTTTTGGTTTACCCATTGATATGATCAACAATTGCTCAGAGATCTGAGGACATAACCTAAATCTGGTCCTGTCTGAAGCTGGAATTTTGATAGTCATCTTGCAGTCCATAAAGAAAGAAGAGCAAAGGTATTGGTTTATGAAAGCTACAGATTTTTTTATTATTATTATTGTTTTCCTCTCCTTTTTCTTACTTTCTAGAGATGGTGGAAGAAATGACAATGCTTTGCTAGCTTGTGTCTTTCACTATATTATATATAATCTTTTCTGTAATACTGCATTTACCAAAAAAAAAAATAATTTTTCCAGCTCCTGTTTCAAAGAAAATTAGTAACTAGTAGGCCCTTTGTAAGAGTCTTCTTACCTGCTTGCCTAAGATAAGGGCTTATTTGGTTTAACAGTCAGTTCAAAGTGTTGCTAAAGTGGTGCTTTAAAAATGAATCATGCAGCTTGCTACACTTCAGTGCTTAGTGGAGTTATAATATCTGATGTCTTGTGCTCTAGGAGGTCTTGGAAGTTTTGTGCTTTGATAGAGACAGATTACTAGAAATATTTAGTAAATAAACAAGATATTTATACTTTTATGTATATGTTTGTTGGCCTAAGTTTAGGGTAGTGCCTTTTTTTTTTTTTCCTGGAGGAGATAGGGGAGTTGACAAAAGTCAGCTTACAGTACACAGTAACTGAAGAGGTTCCTTGCATCAAGCAAAATGTATTACTTGGAGTATCATTGTCAGTCATGCTTTTGTAAAGAGATATAAAATTCACCACTTGTTAAGATTGGAAACTTATGTGGAGCTATTAAAGGTCAGATGTAGGCAGTGTCTAAAACTTGTGCCATCCCCAGCATCTAAGTGCTTTTTATAGTGCTCACACTGATTTTAAGTATGTGAGTAAATATATAAATGTGTATATATAATGTCCATTTAGAAGAGTAATGCAAAAATAGCTTTCTTACCATTTATTGTCTTTTCCTCTGGTGACTGTTCTCTGATACAGGCAAAAGCTTGGTAGCTTCACCCGCTGTGTGCCTTTTTGACCATCTCCATCCCTTTTAAAATCCCCAACTCCACACTGAGATGTTGTCCCTAGCCTTCAAACAGACCGTAATGGTAATTGTTACCTGTCAGATTTTTAGATTAAAACACAAAAGGCTTTGGCTTTTTGTGTTGGTTTTTTTTTTGGTTTTTTTTTTTCTTTTTTCTTTTTAATTGCACTTGATTTGTGCCTGGGAAGATCTTGTTAACCCCTGCAGTGTTATGTCCTTGTCTTCCACCATGCTACCCCTGCCCTCCACCTGTGGCTTCCTCATCTTCCTCGGTGCTACATGGATAAAAACAGGAGGCCCTAAAACTAATGCTAACCTCTGTTGTAGCCATGTTTCTTTTTGCACCTGCTTATAAGGTAGCCTATGGGAACACATCTCTGCATTGTAACTAATCTCTCATCCTTTTCTCTGCTAGATCCACACGGGTTTACAACACCAGATAATTTGGCCATGCCAGCCCAGCTGTGTGCCACTGGATGAGAAACTCCTCCCAGAGCTACTTCAAGAGGCGGGATACGTTACTCACATGGTGGGGAAGTGGCATTTAGGGATGTACAGAAAAGAATGCCTTCCAACCCGCAGAGGATTTGATACTTACTTTGGTAATGATTAGATTTAGCACGGGCAATAAATGCAAAGTTAAAAATGATTCGAGAGACTGCCCCATTCTTCAAAGAACAGCAGATTTACTATTAATGTAATAAGTAAATCAATACCGGGGCGTGCATGTTTCCGAAGTGTAACTGGTTAAAATAAGATAGTGCCTTAAATGCATGCCCAAGCCTTACAACTTATTGAAGAAAATATCGTAATTATTGAGTGGCTCCAAAGAAAGTATTTCTCTCTTTTTTAATTTGGTTCCATGATGGTTAGAAGATTTAAGGTGTAGTGATTGGTTTGCTTTGGAAATGTCTTTAATCTGAATGTTTTGTGTTAGATCAGGCATTAGACATGGCTTGCTCTGCAACTAATGTTACACTTCCAAAAGCTGGTATGTTTAAGGGAGAAATAGGCATCATACCACACTGTGTTCATGCTTTGTGAATAGAGTAGCATTGGTTTTCCAGAGCCTGTGGCAAGGAAGATAGTGTGAGAGCATTTATAAAACAGTATCCAAAAGCTCTTTTGCAGGAACTTGCAAGTAATGAAGTCAAACCCTCAGACTAAAAAACTAGTGCCAGAATTAGATTGTTCAGGTGTGAGTGTGTTACTTACAAAGCAACTTGTAGCTACCTGTTGTTTATTCTTCCTCTTGCAAAGGCTCCCGTCCCAGTGTTGATTGGACGTTTATTAGTTTTGCACAAGTGTCACAGATGTTACGTGAATTGGGCTGTCTGCAATACATCTCATTCTGCACGGTACTGAACGTGAAGTGGTCCATCTCCACTCGGTTGTTTTTAAGACACTTTCATTGAATGGAGACTTTCAAAACAGTTCATTGTGTTCAAAGTAACTTTGCAAGCTGTTGGTAGTACTGCTGCTCACCTTTACAGCTCAGAAAGTGAGATAGAGAGAAACTTAAGCAGAAGCCTGCGCTCCTCTTGTTTAGCCTTAGGTACTTACGTGAAGAGCCTTGCTGTGCTATGTGCCCTTTATAGACAACGTTGATCCAAACTTTAGGTGGGAAGAACTGTTCCCTTAGATTGTTTAGCTCTTTTGACTCTTCAGGGAGCTTGGGGCCGTGGATTCACAACTGAATTAGGCTAATCATAAGATAATGGCTCATTGCTTAAACATATATGCCTCCTCCTATCCTTTCACAGGAGCTTGGGATCTTCTTGACAGCATATATGTACATAGGCTGGCACTCCTCGAGAAATCTCACCGTGGGCCCATGCAGACTCTTAATGCAGGAGCCATAATACAGACTGGCTCTGGGTATGGTCATTGGGTGCCCAGTGTGACATTATTTTTCAGAGAATGTAGCAGTTTAATATATATAATATTCCTGTAATTCCAGTAGGCATTGATTGCAGTTAGGGGAATTTGGTTCTTTGGCATACTTGACAAAGTGTCTCCCCCAGCGGGCACTCAAAATGGAAAAGTGCAACTTGTGACTCTGAGTACGTTGACGTAGGTGGTCTGCCCACAAAATCAGTCTTTATGCTTTGGAAGAAAAGTCATTTTTTCCTCCCCAAAAACTGTTAGAAGTTTAGATTGTATTTAAACCAGAACTTCGTTCTTTCTGTACATACTTTTTTGCACAAGTAACTGTAGTTGAAGTTGCTGAATAAAAATTCAGGTGAAGTTCCTCCAGTTTGGATTTTTGTCCCCAGTTCTAGTTTGGTTTTGCAGAACTTTAGAATGTATTTTTGCAAATTCATCTGTTTTTTTCAAGGTATTGGGGGATAAATCTGAAATCTATTTTCAAAAGTAATAATTACTGAAATTCAAATGATGTTGAAGAATTTTGTTTCTGATTGATAAAAAGCAAAGGCATTCCATGCTTAACAAGATAGTCCTTGATAGGAGCAAATCTATATCTGTAGAATTTTTGCATAGTTTGTTTCTTTTGGGTATCTTTAAATAACAGTGTCTTTTTTTCACCAGTTGGTGTCAGCAGTGGATCACAAATAGTTTACAGCTGACACAAAAAATGCGTTATACTTGGATGTTTTTGAATAAATACGTTTTAAAAACGCCACACTTTCTAATAGAGAGAGGAGGCTTATATGAAAATACAACCATGCAAAATCATACCAGCTAATAATCAGAGTAGTATGTGATATGTCACTGCCTTTATCAATGTACTGGTTTAATGCTGGTGTCTTTGGTTTCAAGTTATAAATCTAAAGTCATTTAACTGCTTTCAAAGTGTTTCGTGTGTTTTGAAATTGCTACTTGCATTAGCAATAAAAAGTTCTATGAAGTACTAAATGTTGAGCTTCTTAGGGGATGTCACTATAGATGGTCAAATGTTGAACGAGTGTTTCAGCTCAAAACCACTGATGTTTTGACACTTATTTTTGACTTTCCCCCCCCAATGTATCTGTTTATGTGATATGATGTTGTCCCACTTACGTGACATCTTTTCATGTTCTAGGCTATCTTCTGGGGAGTGAGGATTATTATTCTCATGACCGTTGCGTCGTCATCAAGGCAAAGAACATAACGCGCTGTGCTCTGGACTTTCGAGATGGAGAAGAAGTTGCAACTGGGTTTAAAAACATGTACTCCACTAATTTATTCACAGAAAGAGCTATAGATCTTATAGCCAATCACAAAACTGAAAAGGTACAGTCAGCAGCTGTTACTTTGATAACTTCAACACTAAGGAATGTTTAAAAAAAAGTTAGTGAAATATGAGAGACCTGCGCTGGAGCTATAATTCAGGTCTATTCAGCAGGGTGCATGGAGCTAAATGTGAGAAGTAGTACTGGTAGAACTTGCCTTTTCTGCTGACAGGATGGGCTTTGGCAGCACAGTCCTGGCCTGCTACCCTTCTCCATTTCTTTTTTAATAATAAAAGTAATGAATTTATAGAAATGATTTATCATGTCGTTTGCTCTTCTAAAAAGAGAATGGGAAAAGTTTAATGGGAAAAGTTTCATAGAAAGAAACTCTTATCAACTGTGTTATGAAGAAAAGATACACCTAATGTTTTTCCACAGCTTTGCAGAAGTCCTTTATCAAAGTTTTATTAGTTTATATTTAGGAATTAGAAGAAAGAAACGCATCAAAACACAGTGCCTGCAGCTGTTGATGAATCAGGGCTGCTTTTGCTGCAGTACCTTTTGCATTTAGTACTTTATGTTCAACTAATTCCGTTCTATCCCTTCCACCCCAGCCCCTTTTTCTCTACCTCGCTTTCCAGTCTGTCCATGAACCTCTCGAGGTCCCTGAAGAATACACAAAACCATATTCTTCCATTAAAGATGTAAAGAGGCGCCATTATGCAGGGATGGTGACTCTTATGGATGAAGCTGTAGGAAATCTTACTGATGCGCTGAAAAGATACGGTCTTTGGGACAACACCATTCTTATTTTCTCTACTGGTAAGTTAATTTAAATATTCTTTCAGTAATAACTTTGATATAGCATCTAACAAGCTGACTACAGAGTCATCTGGCCTCTCTGTCCTTCCTCCATGTATTTTCTAACTACAGAAGAGTGATGAAAGTGAAACAGGACTTTATACGAGAAGGAGCAGTGTCTCTCCCCCCTCTTACGCCTTTCTCAAGCGTGATGAAAGCAACTCTAAAGAAGTGTCCATGCAAATGAGGGATACTCCTATGGGAGTAAAAACAGCATTGTAAAAACTGAAGGAGGGTGGTGAAGTTGAAGGCATCTTACTTGCCACTGCAGTTACTGAGTATCTGTCAGAACTGAATCCTTACTGAGAGCAATGTACCAAATTCATTTGTCCTGAGCTATAGGTAGCTGTCTGGTCAGTCTATAAATTGCCATGTGTGCATGAAGCACAAATGACCAGACAACAACCAGTTTGAAGCCAAAACTCTTTCTTTCCCTTACTTCCATGTAACATGTAATTTTTGTGTTGCTTGAAATATTTCACTGGCACTTTACTCCCATGAAGCAAAGGTCTGTTAATTAACAAGCTTAATATGTGATGATATAGTCTAGGCTGCCAAATTACAGGCTAAGTTTTTGTATATACCAGCACACGATCTGGTTTCTAGATTATTAGGGTAATGCAAATAATACATTACAAAGCAGTCTCCTTTGTTTCCAAATTAGGAATGAAACAGAACCTTTTTGAAGTACAGCTGCTTGGCTGGGTTTCAGGAACATAGTTGTTCTTGTTTGGTTGAGAGTGGGAAGTAGCCTTTCAGTGCTTATAGTTGGTCTTTTGCCCAGGCTTTACATATTAGGGCTGTCAAAATGGCAAATTAATTTTCTGTGAATACTTTAAAAAACAGCAACAACAAAAAACCCAAACCCCAAGGTGTGATGAAAATGCAGTGATGTATTTTGAGCTTAGCAGCTGCTTCCTATAGTGCCTGGAATCTTGGAATTTAATTTTGAGTCCAAACCTGTTTGCCTTATGGTGTTACATTTGTGTCCAGGTTTTGGCTCTAACAGGATTCGATGACTCTTCTATGCCTGTTTCTATTTGTGATATTTTCATATTTAGAACTGAAAGTAAGCAAAGCCATATGGAAAATGATACCACTATTTATTCCATATGGAGAAAATCCAATCTTTGCTGATGGGGTCTTGGTACAGTTATTTCAGTCATGTTTGTTCAGTATGTTGTGGAATAAAACTACAGACATCTGAGTTGGAATTACAGGGTATGACTGAATTAAAAAGGCAAATTTATTTTCTGTTTATAAAACATTTTTTTCCAAACAATGACAGTATACCCTGCTTTTAACAGTACTTATCTTGCCATCAATTACAGGTACATTTCAGCAAGAGTCAAACAGTCAGGAGAATCTACTGTCTGTCCTATCTAATGGGACTTATCTTGAGTTAATTGACATTTTAAACTGCTGGGAGTGGAATTTAATATGATTGAAATGCAGGGAAATTGGGCCTAGATCGAGCAGGCCGGGGGGCAGTGATTTGGGTTTTTTCAGTGTTCTCTCTTCACTTCAAACAGCTGTTCTTTGCAGGCATAAAACATTGCATGCATTAAAGACCCGGTTTCCAAAAAACAAATGTTGAAACCATTAAGCATTAAAAAAAGGCAAAAAAAAAGAAAAAGCATGAAATCTATTCAGCTTTTCTGTATCATATTTATTGCTTTGGCAGGTGGTGTGTTTCAGAATGGTTGGAAAGAAACACAAGAGGGTCTGCAATTGAGCATCTTGTGCAGAGAGTTTTGCTATGTGAGATGTCTCTGCACAGCTTTGAAGTCCTTTGTAACTGGGAGTCTCAGTGTGCACTGGTAGCTATAATATGAATATAGACGTATAGTACAGTATTACCATCGGCTCTTGAGGGCATGCCTGCTCGAGGAAGCTGGGGCAGGGAGGTGGGGCACAAGTGCTCTCCTGGGACTGGGAGACTCTTGTCTTGCTCAGTATGGCTAGAGAGACACATTTTCCTCTACAATCAGGAATTCTCTCCAAGAAAGTTCTTCCCGTGCTGTGGGGTTAAAAATCAATTTAAGGATTTAAATGAAGACTGCAAGGGAGAATGTAGGGGAAGGATAAAGTGTATCCGTAATTTTAATGACCAGTATCTATGTATCTCCTCAGCATAGTAGTTAAAGACACAGGATCATAAAAGCCCTCTCTGTTTTGTTATAAACTTGTGTGGTTTGATAACTATAGTGTTGGAAACTTGTAGAGGAAAAAGAAGTGAAGACCCTACTTTTATGGTAGATTTTACTAGATTCATTACTATTCCCTGTTTAGTTGCGGCCAAAATTCACTCGGACGTTTGTGTCTCTCACTGCTTCAAAATTCTCCCCCAAAAATAATTTACAAGTGATCATTTGCTATTGTGTGCTATAGCAAGTAGCGTTACAACATACAGTCTTCTGTTTGATTCCTTCACTGTGAAATGTCAACCCCAAAATCAGAGACCTCTTTTTAGTTGGTGCTCATTGAAATATTCTAGAACATGGTATAATCTTTGCTCTCATCGTAGATTTCTTGTTATTCAGCTCTTTTGTGTTTCTTGCTATTTGTGTATGTTATGCCTCAACCAGAATTGCCTTGAAAACATGCCAGTTGGCAAATGGAATTACTGCATATTTTACAAGGGCCTTGTAAAATGTGTAGAAGAACTTCAGTTCCTCTTTAAAGTGGCCTAATGGAGACACTGGGCCAAAAATGAAGTAATCTCGTCATTAGCAAAGTCTGACTCCATCATTATATCATGTAAATTGACATCTCTAGTGTCTTTTTGAACAGATGCACGAGCTATTTCTACAGGTAAATAAGAAAAAGATGAGCTAGTTCAGTGTTATGTGGTGTTATATCTGTGTATCGTGTAGTAGCTTGAAAAGTCTTGACTGGGGTGATATGAAATAGAATTTGCTTTTATAGAGCACCTTTTATACTGCAGATGCAGGTAAGTCTACGCTAGTGAGATCAGTAGTGAATATGAAGTCATTGCCTGTTCAAAAAAAACAGATAAAAATGGATGCAGCACTGTCTTGTGTACCCATGGCCTTTTATCCACTTGAAATCAAAAAGAAAGAGGCATATTTTTCTTTTTAGGAAATGTAAGACACTGTAACTACCAACTTTCCTGAGGAGGGTCTTGCCTTGATTTAAAATAAATAAAGGTCATAAAAAGCATTCAAGTGGTACAAATTTACCTCAGCACTATTAACACTGGCTTAGAGTCCAAATTTTGCTTCAACTATAGACTTAAGATTTGAGGTAAGAAGTGGGGATTTGCTGTAAATACCATGTTTTTCTAGTTTCTGCAACATATTACAAGTAATTTTGATGGAAACTTGCCAAAAGGAATTGAACCTCTAATTTCAGTTCTGCATTAGAGCTACTATCCTTTGCTTTATTTAACTTTCAACTTTTTAATATACTATATAATTTTGGAACTAAACCCCTTACCGCTCTTTCTTCCAATCAGTCTGTTAATTCTTAAACGTGGATTAGTACTGTAGTGTCTGGTAGTTGCCATAAGAGGGCTTTGAACAGTAAAATATGTGGAACTTTGCAAGCTTTGGTTTACATTGCTAAGAAGAAACTGCATAAATCCTTTCCATAATGGAACATGTGACAGTGATGACTGTTTTAACTCCAAAAGATGGTCTTTTTATCATTTTGGAATTATGACTATTAAAAGTACAGATTGTTTTGGACATACTGATGTTTAT